GGGGGCTGGTTCAGCCGTCAAGAAGATATCAAGAACATTCAGAGTGTCCCGGCTCGGTTGTTTTGGTGCCTTTGTGAGTAACATACACATTCATTGTGCAAGGCCCATCTCCGAAATTACTTCCAGAAGGACTACAAGAATGGTGGGGCTTTTGATCACGAAGAATATGACTTTGATGTGGGCGATTGGTGCTGGGTCCACAAAGGCCTCAAGATCAAGGCGCTGCTGTCGAGAGCTTTATCAACTTATCAACCGTGTTCCACCCCTTCACATGCAGCACTTGCCAAAGCTTCGTGCAGGTATGGGCAGATGCTCTTGATCTCACCCAAGCTGGGGGAGATGGTGATGTGGAATGTTACTTTCACTATACAACACAGCTCGGGTTCCATAACATCACACACGCGAGCAAAGCCGCTGTGGAAGTGTTCGTGCTGCTCTCAGAAGTGTTGAGTGACAATGTCTTGAACTCGATGCCTTCCATCTAGCCACTTGCACTGTACATTCACAGGCCTCTCTCGTCACAAGTGGTGAAAAGGCCAATGCGTGGTGGGGGAAAGGCAAGGCGGGCTTTGTGCCAGTGAGCTGAATTCTGATTTGGTGGGCTAAACGTCTCATGTCAATCTTAGGGCCAGAGCCAGATTGGAGGGTGAGTTCATTTTGGTAGCGCTTTCCAAGGTCGTGCAGGTTTTTTGTAAGGGACTGTTTTGGCCCTGGAACAACCCGGCGACTCTTGCTGCAGGTTTATGTGAGTTAGTTCCAGCAACCATTGCCATTCCAGATATTCGAGCGAACGCTTGGCAGGCGTATACAGCGTACGGAAGGCACCTGATGAATGGCCAAGCGTGGAGACGCTGCTGGACAACAACTACCGCAATATGCTCAAGCGAGATACCTGGATTTGCTAAGGGTAATTTTTGCTTTCCATTATGTATGAATCCCCCTCTCGGAAATACTTTTAAATTTCCCAGTCATTAAGCAAATCCAAGGATATCGATCTGAAAGGTCGTGAGGCGGCAATCCAGGAGATCTCCTTGAGCTGCTACTGCTGTAGGGCTCGTGCATGATTCCGAATAGCAACGTAACTCGTCGGCGACACATGGCTATCAAATTTCTTCCTGAAGGACTACCAATCGAGGGTGGAATTTTGCATTCCAATCCTTGTCAATGCATCCATAGCCTACGATGTCTCGGAACGGCCGACACCGGAAATGGTGGAGCAGGCTGAGTTGTTTGCAATGGTTGACTTTACATGACTTTACAGATCACCCGATGTTGTTAATCGATTCCGTTGCCATTTGTTTCTGGACAGGGGAAGCCTGCTGGTGTGTCGGGCGCCAAGTCTATTGCAGTTTATTTTCAACTTTGAGCAGTTGGCTGACTCATTTCATCCTTTGGCCAAGGAACCTTGCTGGAAAGCTCCTGAATGAAGCCGGAAAGCCACCGCGTGAATGTATCGTTGTGCGAGCACAAGCAGAAAGCGATATTGGAAATGCCAGAGCAGTGCTGGTGGAGACGTCTCTTGTTTGCTATCAGGATCCCCAAAACTATCAGGACACATACCCGGTTTGCCAACGTTTGGAGAACTCTCTCAACAGGGCAGTTTGTACTGCTTGTTTCGCCCGCGCATCCTGAACTAAAGCCCTCAGCGAAACTCGAACAAGTTGTGGCAAACGCACAATCAGATGCAACTCAACGGGGCAATGCGAGGACGTTCATCGGACTCCAAACGCAACTTGGGCTTCATTCTGAAGCCACACTGTTGGCCTTCTGGGCTGCAAAGGTGTCACACTAATACAACGCCCGAGCGTTCCATTTTGAGGTTCTGTTCTGTGTACATTTTTTGTTGGCATGTATGGGGGACTGTGCCTTTGTGTGTGTACTCATGTGGTGAGTGGCTGTTGGCGTTTCGTTCGTTCCTTACTTTCTTCATGTTCAATATGCCCAAACCTGCATTTGGCATTATATACTACCCCATCTTGAGCAAAAGTTGGCCAAGAGACAAACGCTGCTGTTCCCTCTTGACATCTTGTGTTGCACGGAACTTATGTCACAAGCTTGGTTGCTGAACTTGGGAGAACAACAGGGATGGGAAGGCCTTTGTAGTCTAGTCTAGTCTAGTCTACATAGTATCACCGTCAATTCTCGTCAGAATACTCTTGGCACCAAGATCACCTGCTAACAGTTTTTTCTTGAGTGGCACGTCCACCGAACCAGTCCCACTCCCTCGGCTTTAACACCCGGGATACCTCTTAGATCTTGGATGTGCCGCTCGATACTTGGCAAGTCTTGGGTGCGAATCAGTTCCATTCGTGACGAAACCCTGTCAACACCACCACTTTGGACACGATGCTTTGGACAGGCAGCGATAGCAGGCTGATCTAGTACTTAGCACTATACCTTCAGTGAGTTTGTGCAGCCAGAGCTGCTGATGGAAGCTGTGTGTCGAGGCTTCGCTGCCGTGCTGAAGCCGCAGTCACCAGACGTGGCCCTACAGATGGATATACCCTCCAGGCATTGAGCCGGTGTGCAGCTCAGGCCTTTTCGCATCATGCACTCATACCATACATAAATCGAACATAGACATCACATATTTCAAGAAACCAATTGTATTCCTATTTCATTTGTCTGATTGTGTGCACAACTTTCATCCCAATTGAGCTTATCCTTTTCCAGTTAAAGAGACATATACCTGGCATTTACGTTTTGTCACTCTTTAAACTCTAAGAAAACAAAGCAAGACAAGAAAAGGAACGAGTATATCTTCATACATACACGAACTTGTTCATTTCTTTTTGCAAGCACATGTCAAGAGAAGTGGCTTGTTATGACACGAACTTCAATTTTCCTTTTGATTAAAACAGCAGAAGCAACACCTTTATCAGGACTTACCAGGTGAAAGCAAGATCTGGGACTCTCCAGCTCTTGGGTCGTCGTTCACCCCACGTCCCCGAGGCTGGCGTCGGTGCTCGAAGACCGCGGCGACCTGGCAGAGGCCGAGGCGCTGTGTCGCCGCGTCTTGGAGGGCGACGAGGCGCAGTGGGGTGCAGAGCACCAACAGACCCTGACGGCGCTGAGCAATCTCGCGAGCGTCCTGAAGCAGCAGGGCAAGTATGAGGAGGCTGAAGCACTTTATCGCAAAGCGCTGGAAGGAAGAGAGGCTCGACTTGGTGCCCGGCACCTCGACACCCTCCTGTCTCTCAGTAATCTGGCCAGTTTGCTGTGGAGGCAGGGCAAGTTCGAGGAGGCTGAGGCCCTAAACCGAAAGGCACTGGAAGGAAAGGAGGCTCAACTTGGAGATAGGCACCCCGACACGCTGAGCTCACTCAACAATCTGGCCGCTTTGCTGTTTGGCCAGGGTAAGCTTGAGGAGGCGGAGCCCCTCTTCCGCAGACAATTGGAAGGAATCGAAGCTCAGCTTGGAGCTAGTCATCCCAACACCCTTACCTTCGCCAACAACTTGGGGGTTCTCCTGCTGGATCGGAGGAAGCTCGACGAGTCAGAGGTGTTCTTGCACAGAGCCGTGGAAGGGCGAGAAGCCCAGCTGGGCAGCCATCATCCCGAAACGCTCCGCTCCGTCTACCACTTGGCCCGTCTCAGTGCGGCTCAAGGGCGCTTGGAGGAAGCCCAGTCGCACTTCCGCCGGGCGATGGAAGGGCAAGTGGCCCAGTTGGGAGTTAGACATCAGGAGACATTGGACTCGATCTCTGGTCTGGCAAAGCTCTTGGAGGCAAAAGGCTCGATGGAGGAGGCCAGCTGGGGTGGTCCAAAGATGAAACAAGGTGAATCCGAGTGCTTTCCGGCTCCACCCACTTGGTGTTCCTCTAAAGCTTGGAGCCTCCGCTCTCAACGATCTCAGCTGGGTGTCCCAAGTCTCCCCACTGGGCTCCGAGGCACACGAGCTCTACCAACGGCAGCTGGACGCCTTGGAGGCGCGCCGAAGGGGGGTGACCTATTGCAGGATTCCATGCAGGAGAGGTTTTGAAATCGAAGTAAACGGATCCACAAAAGAGAAGTTGTGTAGGGGGAATCCTCAAGCCTAGTTCTTTGCCGAGAGGGGGCACTAGAAGGCGCTTCAGATATGAATTGCTTGGGACGTAAGTATAGTGCCTTCTTGGTTATAAATGTTTGGCTCATTGGGGGTATTGGATGTTATTTGACATATTATACAACAGTTTGTGGGTCCACTTCACACTGCGAGCCTGGTGGTTGTCAGCCTCACCACTTTGATGCAGGGTGTGGAAGTCAGAATTTGACAGTTTTACCCCAAAACCACGCATCTCCTGGCAGGAAATTCTGAAACGTGGACGTCCCATAACATTCAGGATCCTACCACAAATATCCACAAATGATGTCTTGTCTTCGATAGGCCCCAAGTGCATTGCCGGTTGCTCTTGGACATTTGCATCCGAGTTCGGGCCGGGTCTGCAGGAATTGCACGGCTCAGACCATCCCAAGACACGCGCGTGCCGTGAACACCTGGAACACCTTCAGCGTGGAGACAAGCGTCAAGAAGATCCACCAGCTGAGGCGCAGACAGGTAGAGGGGCATAGGGAAGTGCTGCTTGATCCGATGAGAAAGAGCCTACTGAATTGAAGGTTCAATAATTAGGACGTAGACGTCTGACATGTTTCCATGATGAGATGCATTGTTCCGAGCTGTATATTGAAGACTTTGTGCACAGACCAGACTCTTGTGACTCTTGTGACCCACAATTTCTCAATGATGCGACCAAGCAGAATGGCTTTCACGAAGCATGTTACCCAGGTTTGATCGTTTCGTTGATCTGAACAGGCCATGATGCCACCGGATTCCGCTGATCAGTGAGGCGAACATCGATGCATCGACCGAATCCTGTCTCACTTGGATCCACATGAGATTGTCATGAGAGCCACTCAGTCTGGAGCTCGAGTGAAAAGCGTTTGAAGTTCAGCCAGGCCAATTGACTGTGTCTCCTCATGCCCCGTAAGATCTGCACCGACCCATGAACTGGACTTACTATATTACGTAGGCAGTTGTCTTCATGGCACGGTTTTTGTTGTTCCGCGGACGGATTGATAGCAGTGACATCGTCACCATTCTACTGTCCCGAACAGGCGGAACAGCTATTCGACCGGAAGGAATGTGTAGGTGTCACCAATCGACCTTGAAGTATCTCGAAGTTCGGTTGGGTACAAGAAGACCGGTCTTCCCCTCCCCGATGGGTTTTGGAGAGGAGTGCGTGGTTCGCGATGCATGCCGCAGCATCAGCAGCGCTTCTCGATTTGCAGTTGCACCATTCTACACCTGCGCAATCCACACACATCATCCGTTGCAAAAGTCATATTCACTTTCTGCTCACCAAGTGAAAGAAGGCAAGTGCACAGTTGCCTTGAACCGACAGGAGCAGAACTTGTGGGAGTTATGGGTTTTCAGTTTAGGCTAGATAATTGTCAGCCTTCAAACAGACATTGTGTGACAGATAGACTGTTTTGCGTTCAACCACAAGCCGTCGGATGATCCTTGTAACTATATTGAGTAGAGTATCCACATGTCTTCTGGGGGGGGTTGGCCCCCCAAAAGAAGATAAAACAAAACATATCAAAGAGCCGAACATAACCAAACCTCCACCTATTTCCAAGTCTCGCAACTTCCACCGGAACCGGTTCTCACTCGACTCGCCGACCTCTCTCTGTGCGGATCCAACCCGTCTCTGCCGGACCGGTGGTGACGTGGGGGTGCCCAGACCGAAACGAAGCGGTCGGACGGTGACGGTGTCGGAAAGGTCTGGAGACTCTGAGAAAGGGTGGTGAGGGAGCATGGAGAAGAGCCCATGGAATATATAATATTACTATATAATGAACATGGGGGGCTATGCAGTATCGCAGAGCTGAGCAGACAGCATGCTGTTCTTAAGTATTTCTTGATCAAAAGATGGACTAACATATGTGAAGTGTTATATACATGGTGGGGTAAACTGGGGCAAGTCCAAATGATCATGGCATACCAAAGTCGACAAAGGGACACTTCTCGTCGTCTTGCAACTTTTGACCCGTTTACGGATCATTCCAGGACATGGGAGAGGTCGCGCATTCAGCAAGTTCGCAGGGTTCAGGTAACCACAGAAACCGCTGGTGCCGTCGATCGATCGGTTGACGTGGAGACAGCACCACTGGCTGACTTGGGGCCTTTATGGGTTGAGGATCCCCATGACTCCGTTCCTGACGGACATCGGTTTCACCTTCCAACAAACCGGCATCCGGCATCATGGCATATCGCAAACGTGAGGCGTGAACATTGTTGTAAATCATCTAGTATACATAAGATATCAGTCATTCTAAACATTGTTCGCTTCACCATCAATAGGGTTGTGTGCCGTCGACCCTGCAATTTTTGTACAGCACGGACCTGTCTAATGCTTGTGTTTTCTTCTTCACTTGGAGGACATGATTTTGTAAGCCTGAACAATTCATTTCACAATACCCCCAGCAACGAGCCGGTGTTTTCTACGGAGTTCAAATTGATCGATTGACAAACAGCGACTTGGTGAGCCTCCCAATGTCCGGGGTTTGTTCGCCTTCTTCCTTCTTCATTTGATGTGCGGCTCTTCTCAAAGACTTGGCAGGTGGTTCGGACCAGCTGGTTCGTATCCTGTTCACGTTCAGTTGGTTGAATTGTTTTGGCTTGGCGCCGAGCAACTGTGCCCTGCAAGGCAGAAGTACTGGGCGCAGTCTGGAAAGCATGACTGCCACTTGGTCACAATTAAGAGTCAAGAGAGGGGGACTTCAATTGCAAATTCCCGTTTTGTTTGATGTGTTTTCCTGCCCTCCAAGACTTTCAATACATCACAACCCCCCCCATCTCGGAACCTGATCACCTGAGCTGCGGCTGCACCGAGGAGCTGCGTGGGCAGGTGGAAGCGATCTTCGAGGCGAAACTGGGACATGGCGAGTGCCACGATGGCGGTGGCGGGACATGGCTGGAGCGGCAAAGCTTCTTGGATTGGACATGGCTGAACGAAGGTTTTGTGGGGATCTGGGAGGAGCTCTGAGCTTGTGCCAAGTATAGCTGGGGTCTACTTGAGAGGGTCAAAGTTGATTCTTTCGCCAAAGGTTTTGCTATACTCACGTTTGGCCTGGTCTGATGGCCAAGACGTATGTCTGACATCCTCAGGCTACATCGAAATTCTTCAAGATATTGGTAGCACACTGGAGGAGGCCCATGCCATTCTGCAGGAGATTTCACACTTCCGCGAGAAGAACTGGGAAACATAATGAGTACATGAGCTCGCCACAGTTCGCCTTTTCTAGGCTGGTCTCCAAGGAAATGCTTTCCATTTCCTTCCCGCTGTGTGCATCGACACCATCGGCAGGACTACCCGCAAAACTCATGGCTTCGCAGCTTGGCAGGGATGGGCAAGAGTCCACAAGTCCACAAGGAGCATGGGCTGTCATGAGTGCGTGTTCCTGTCCAATAAATAGTGATCAGACTGCTCAGAGCTCTCGTAGCAAGGCTGGTGTATAGCCAAGCAAGTCTTGAGGTGTGAAAGACTTCTTGGATATCCTCTTCACCTCAGAGGTGCAGTGGGAGATTCATTGTTTGCGCCAGCATCCAGCTTTTGCGACTTCTAGATGATGGGATGGGATGCAAAGAGCTTTGGATTCATGCCTTTTGCAACTTCGGATCTGTTCAACCTCTTTTTTTGTTTCTAAGTTTGGCCAAGAACCGCCTCTCCAAAAACTCCTACATCAGGACGGCCGTGATGCTCAACAAGACATGAGACCTGAAGCCTTCAGCATTTTATTCATGGTTGTTCGGTTGTTCCGCATTTCATGCTCTGCACATCACTTCGGAGCTCACCCATGGTGGACACACCATAAGTACTTTTGTTCTTTGCAAGTCTATCCCTTGTAGAAGAACTAGTCTATGCCTGTGTTTGGGGTGCGTTTGTCGTTTCGTTTGGTGAGATTTGTTGCGACTGACTAGGACTGACTACAGGACTGAATCTGAATTGTAGTCACGAAAATCACTCTCGTTATTCTTTATTCCCTGTGCCTTCCGAAACTCAGACGTTGGAGTCAAGGTTATTGAAGTGTTTAGTGTTTTGACCAGCAAGTCACCGCGGCGATCCACATGTGACTGCTCATTTAGTCGGCCGACAGAGCGTTTTTGTGCACCAAGAGGTCCAAAAAGCTGAAGAAAGCATGCAAGAAAGGAACCAGCCAGGGGCAAGCGCTGCATTGGAGGCATGGAGATGAGTTGGACATTGGTTCAGTTGAGGGCATCAAGCACTGGTTCAGAGAAAATTGCCGTTCTCAACATTTGATGCTTGTTCTTGACACCTGATACACAAACTAAATTCCGGTTCAGGGAAGCGTGTACGGACTGTCGTTGATCGTTTGCCTTGCTTGGCCGCACAGTAGTCATATATGCGACACCAGATGCCTTTCTCAACTTTCAGTTTATGCCCGGGAAGGTACACAAAATCGACACCATCGTGACAGAAGGGAGTGATGTGAAGAAGCCTTCAACATCTGAGGCGTTGGAAAGAAGTCGGTGAGCACAGGATAGCGCTGGTGATCCACATTTGTTTGTGTCAAGCTGATGGGTTTTCACAAGCTGAGCGCAGAGGTGAATGGGGAGCCTTCAGCCAGAATTAGCATGAATTCACTCCGCTGCACTGCTCCCTAATTCTCCCTATTGTTTGAGCAACTTCTAGCATCATGTGCAAAACCACTTCTCTTCGGGTGTATTTGTGCCTAGCTGATCCTAGCTGGCCTGTTAACACTATATCATTTTCTCACTTCCACAACGAAGCAACCAACCAGCCAGCCAAGCAAGTGAATGCCAGCTGGATCGATTTTTTTTGGGGGCTGGTTCAGCCGTCAAGAAGATATCAAGAACATTCAGAGTGTCCCGGCTCGGTTGTTTTGGTGCCTTTGTGAGTAACATACACATTCATTGTGCAAGGCCCATCTCCGAAATTACTTCCAGAAGGACTACAAGAATGGTGGGGCTTTTGATCACGAAGAATATGACTTTGATGTGGGCGATTGGTGCTGGGTCCACAAAGGCCTCAAGATCAAGGCGCTGCTGT